GTTGATGCCTTGTGACGAAATCAGCGCCGGCGCGCCAAGTGTTAGCGATGACTTATTTCGTTACGAAATCAGCTGATACTCGCCGAGTGATTTCGTAACGAAATCAATCATGCCTACACTTGGCGCCGCCGCGCGCCGCAAATGTCGCCATTACTGATTTCGTTACGGAAATCAGCTACTGCCAATCGAATGATTTCGTTACGAAAATCTTGCGATTTCGCCCTTACAAATCATGCCTACACTTGGGTGTGGCGTGCCGGCGCCAAGTGTCGCGCATGACCTGATTTCGTACAAAATCAATCTACAAAAGTGATTTCGTTACGAAATCAAGTCTACAAATAATTTCGTTACGAAATCAACTACTGCGAGGACATTTCTGTTACGAATATCAGCTACTGCCAATCAATGATTTCGGTTACGTAAATCATGCGATTTCGCTTACGAAACTCATGGCTACACTTGTGCGTGTGGGGCCGCCAAGTGTCGCATGACTGATCTTCGTTACGAAATCAAGTCTACAAAGGTGCATTGCGTTACGAAATCAAGGTCTACAAAGTAATTTCGTTACGAAATCAACTAACTTGCCGAGTGATTCGGTAACGAAATCAGCTACTGCAATCGAATTATTTCGGTTTACGAAAATCAATGACTACACTTTGCGCAGTTGGCCTGCCAAGTGTCGCCATGACTGAATTTCGTTACGAATCAAGTCTACAAAAGCTGTGATTTGCGTTACGAAATCAAGGTCTACAAGTAATTTCGTACGAAATCACACTACTCGCGAGTGATTTCATTACGAAATCAGCTACTCAACTCGAATTGATTCGTTACCAAATTCATGCGCCTACACTTGGCTGCTGTGGGGCGCCAAGTGCTCGCATGATTTTCGCTAACGCAATTCGCCCACCCTTCTCCCTTCATCCCTCCTCCTCCTTCTCCACCAAGCTTCTCCCTCCTCCTTTCTCCACCACCTATCTCCCTTCTCCCCTTCTCCTGACTCCACCAGCTTCTCCCCTCCTCCTTCTCCACCACCTTACTCCCTTCTCCCCTTTCTCCTTCTCTACCATGCTTCTCTCCCTCCTCCTTCTCCACCAGCTTCTCCCTTACTCCACTTCTTCATCTCCACCAGCTTCTCCTCCCCCTCCTCGTTCTCCACCAGCTTCTCCCTCCTCCTTCTCCACCAACCTTTTCCCTTCTCCCCTTCCTCCTTTTCTATCCACCAGCTTTCTCGCCCTCCTTCTTCCACTTAGCTTCTCCCCCGTCCTCCACCACCTTCTCCTCCTCCTTCTCCACCAGCTTCTCCCTCCTCTTCTCACCACCTCCTTCTCCCCTTCCTTCCTCCACCAGCTTCTCCCCTCCTTCTTCTCCACACTTTCTCCCTTTTCCCCTTCCTCCTCCTCATCTTCTCCCCTCTCCTTCTCCACAGCTTCTCCCTTCTCCCCTCCTTCATTCTCCACCAGCTTCTCCCCTCCTCCTTCTCCACAGCTTCTCCCCTCCTCCTTCTCCCACCGTCTCCCTTCTCCCCTTCCTCATTCTCCACCAGCTTCTCCCCCTCCTCCTTCTCACCAGCCCTTCTCTCCGTCCTCCTTCTTCACCACTCACCATTGATTCACACCTCTGCACATAAGATCGCTTGTGCGATTTTACAGCTGGAAGTTGACGTCACGAGCACGCGATTACAATCTGATTGCGTATATAACACAAACCACGTGACAAAATACTGCAATTATCTCCTGTACCGTGCCTGAATATAGAACAACCCCGTTCCGGTTTCCTACAATTCCGCATCCACACCCTGGACTGGTTACTCGCTCCCAACTTGATTACTCGATGGACTAACTAAAGCCATCGGTAACTTAAGTCGAGAAGTGCGGACCGCGCGTACCAGTCTAGGCCCACATCCATTGCACGCCACGCCCCCATGTATGCCATATTTTTTCATTTTCTAATCTTTATCCATCTTTAACTATTTTTCCCGCCAATATTACGCAATATAATAAATAATAATAACGCCATAATATTCACAGTGATTAATTTGTAGACTTGATTCGCTAACTGAATCAACAGTCATGCGACACTTTGCCGCCCACATGCCAAGTGTAGCATGATTATTCGCGAACGAAAAATTCAGTCGATGCAGTAGCTGATTCGTCACGAAATCAACTCTTCAGTAGTTGCATTCGTACCGCAAATTTACTTCTGTAGACTTGATTTTGTAACGGAAATCACTTGCATGACTTGATTTAGCTTACGAATCCAATGATTTTCATAACGAAATCAGTCATCGACCTTGGCCCCCACACGCCAGTTGTAGCATGATTCATAACGAAAATCGCATGATTTCGTACGAAAATCATTCGATATGCAGTAGCTGCATTTCGTAACGAAATCTAGTCATGCGGACATTTGCGCGTGCGGCCGCGCAAGGGCTAGCATGATTTCGTACGAAATGACTCGCAGCTAGCTGATTTCGTCCCGAAATGACTCGCAGTAGCTGACTTTCGTCACGAAATCAACTCTCAAGTAGTTGATTTTCCGCTAACGAAAATCACATTTGTAGACTTGATATTCGTGGGGGGGGGGGGAAAACATCAAGATGATTACTGCTAACGAAAATCAAGTCATGCCGACATTTGGCGCGCCGGCGCGCCCAATGTAGCATGATTTCGTAAACGAAATCGACCCGCCAGTAGCTAATTTCTAACAAAATGACTCGCAGGTAGTTGGATTTCGCTAAACGAATTACTTTGTAGACTGATTTCGTAACGAAATTACTTTGTATAGACTTGATTTCGTAACCGAGAATTATTTTGTAGACTGATTTCGTAACGGAAATCACTTTGTATAGACTTGATTTCGTACGAAATCAATTGATTGCGTAACGAAAATCAGTACATGACACTTGGCGCCCCATACAACACAACCACACGACACAAGAACCAAGACACTAATGACAGCAACGACACAAAACTACAACCTACCATGACACTAATGACACAACGACACGGACACAACACCACGGACACTAATGACACAACGACACGACACAACCACCATGACACTAATGAACACAACGGACACGACACAACCACCACGACACTAATGACACAACGGACACGACACCAACCACCATGACACATAATGACACAACGCGACACGACACAACCACCATGACATAATAACACAACGACACGACACGAACCACCACCGACACAAATGACACAACGACACGACACAACTACGCAGACACTCAATGACACAACGCACACGACGAAACAACCAACAAACTAATGACACAACGACACGACAGCAACCACCATGACACTAGTAATGACACAACGACACGACACCAAACACCATGACACTAATGACACAGACGACACGGAACTATCAACCACCATGGACCTAAATGACTACAACGACAATCGACACAGACCACCACGACACTGAAGTGAACACAACGACACGACAACAACCACCATGACACTAATGACACAACGACACGACGACAAACCCCATGACACTAATGACACAAAGACACGGACACTAAGAACCAGTGACACTAAGAACACAACGACACGCACACAACCACCATGCCGACACAATGATCACAACGAACACGACACAACCACCACGACACAAATGACACAACGACACAACACAACTACCATTGACACTAAATGACACAACGACACGACACAACCACCATGACAACTAATGACACAACGACACGACACACAACACCACGACACAAATGACACAACGACACGACACAACCACCATGACGCTAATGACACACGACACGAAGCACAACCACCACGACACTAATGACACACATGAACACGACACAACCACCATGACACTAATGACACAACGACACGACACAACCACCACGACACTAATGACACAACGACACGACACAACCACCATGACACTAATGACACAACGACACGACACAACCACCATTGACGACTAATGACACAACGACACGTACACAACCACCATGACAAACCACCATGACACTAATGACACAACGACACAACACAACCACCAATGACCCACTAAGATGCATATATATGTGGTTACAACAAGTTACCATACAGTTGCAGTTCGAGCCTGACAGAAAGTATCCAAAAATATTCTACAAATGCTGCATTGTGGCACATTCCAAGACATACATTCTACTCACCTCTTCATTCGGGACTTCCGAAGTCTTCCCGGTACCACTTGAATATCTGGGAACAGCGCCAACTCGTGCCTCAGAGAATCCAGGGTCAGCCATCATCAGACTCCAGAATGATTTGGCAGAGATCTGTTAGCTCCCATCATTATATGTTCGCACTAGGGAACAGTTGATGAAAAGTAGCTCACATGCGCATACAGTTTAAGCAAATTCTCGTGTCTTCGCGTAGTTCTTAT